TAAAATTCTGTTTCAAAATATATGACCTTTATAAATAACACATTGTTAAAGTTTGGTGCACTTATAGAGGTTTTACTATCTCAAAAAATCAAAAAATCATAAACACTTTAGTATAACCCTTTACTCTATTTGATTATGAATACCTTAAATAAATATCTTGAGGTTATTAATTTATTTGTATTAACAAGTGAAAAAAAAATTTTTTTTGTACTAATCGTAACACGTATTATACAAAAAATTTATTAGATATTTACTAAATATTTATTCATTTTGTTAAATCGTAGAACTATATAGACTGTTTTGTAAATGCTTTCTATTGGTATACAAGTATATTGCTCTAATAATTTTAATTTAAGGCATCCCCATAATCTATCTTCTTCTTCTTCTTCATACCAATGTACAAGAGCGAAATCGAACTGTTCTCTTTTTTCAGCTCCGAATTTGAGAATTAGCAAGATCTTGGAAAGTATAAATATATATTAGTATATTCGTAAAGTATTTTGAATAAATATTATGAATGGTCTATTTCTTACTATGCCATACCAATCTATTTCATTTCTTTCTTTATCTTCAGCATTGACCAACACATTAGAAAACATTGGCTTTCCATAAAAACTTTTAGTTGCGCAAATAATATCACCATTATACAAAGTAACAGAAGAGAACGTTTTTATTTGGCTATTATCGTGGATTGACATCTTAGATTCTTCGAAAAATTCACTAAGGCCTGCTGAGAGGTTTTGAAATCCCTCAATTTGTTGAGGGCCCATATCTTTTTTATTTTCTTGAAAGAAACTATCTAGTTTTCTTAATTTTAGTGTCTACAAATGTTTACCATATTCTTTTCGTTGATTTTTCTTGACAGCTTCTTTTTCAGTTAGTTTTTGTTGGTTTATCTAATTAACAATCAACCATTAGTAATTATATTAAAGAAAAAATCCATACTACTAATGCTTACGGATTTTAGTATCTGTTTCATAAAATCTTTTTTATTAGATATACAATATGGATTTTTAATATAGAATCTATGGAGTGTCTCATAAATCTCCGTAGTTATGCCATTTATTGCTCTATATTTTTGAATCGCAGGCACTATGTAATAGCACCAAGTATGAAGTTTTGGAAGCTGTAAACCACTGGCAGAGTAAGATGAAAAGATGGCAACAAAGTCTTAAGCCCAGTTGATAATGAATTTCTACAAAAAAAGTTGAACTATTAAAAATCGGCATATATCAAGGTAAATCATTTTGTTTATACCTGAAGCTGATTGTATAAATCATATATAAAAGACTCTTCCCGAGTGGCTAGGTACATTTGAAGAAATTGGTAAAATACATCGCTCAATTTTTCATTACTTATTCCTGATGTTTTATGCATTGTATATAGGTCGTTAAGTGCGAAAATAGCTATTTTCATTATATTCCTCAACTTATTAGCTGTTATACGCGTTAGATTTGAGATATTTTTTATAATTTTAAGACCGTAAAATCTGGGAATAGATGATAATCGTTGTTCAAAGGTTTAAACAACTTTGCCTCTACAATTTTTCTATAAAAGGTCTTTCGTAAAATCTAGCATGTATTTGAATAGACCAAGGTCTAACACATGCATTCAATCTAGTATGACTACTTCATAAATATTGAAGCCACTAATAATTTTAATTGTTTTAGTAATTTTAAGTTAGAATATCTAACAAATATTATATTATTATACCTTATTTTCCAAAATAGATTTTGTTCAGAATGAATCGAATTATTATATGCTTGGTCTTTATCTGCTATTAACCATTTCATATTATTGGTTGTTTTGTAAGTAATATTAGTTAATTTTGTATTATTAAGGTTTTCTCTTGATACTAAACAGATTCCACACGGTTTTTTGGTGAGAGATGATTGATAGGTGTTTGTAAATTTATTTGCTTTAGCCATATCAGAAATAATTACTAAGATTTATGCGATAAATATAACTACTTTACCACAGACAACAAAGCTAAGTTCTAGTTCATCAATTATCGGCTTAAGAATAATTGCCAAACATCATTGAAAAGTGTCTCTGTTTAACTTTTGAAAATCATCAAAGGACTTCGTTTTAGTATTTTTGGCTTTTAATACAGAAAAATATCTGATTAATACTTTAGATTCTGGTTTGTTTCTTTGAGAATTTGGAATATTACCGAGAGATAAAAATATAGAATGCCTAGAAGGTTTTTCCATATGGTCCAAAATCGTTGCATCAAAATAAAGAATAATTAAAAATAACCACCGACTAGGAAGAATGCGTGACGCTTCCTGCTTCCACCAATCGCAGTTATATTGTTCTTTAAATATACGTAGCTCTTTATTTTGTACATCCTGTTCTTCTTTATATTCTAATACTAAATTCTGATTAACATTATTATTTGCTAATAAAGACTTTATTGTCTTTATTAGTGATCAATAATAGAAGGTGTATTCAACATCTTTAAACATAATAATAGGAATCTCTTTAAAAATATTATATGGAATATCAGAATTATCCAAAAAATCTTTTCCAATTCTAGTCGAGGGAGGTAATAGTGAAGCGTCCAAATTTGAATGTTTATTAAAAAAATTTATTATCGCATCACCAGCTAAATTTGATAATTGGTATTTGGTGACAAGTGTTATAAACTCTTGATAAGCTTCATTTGGCCATTTTGTTTTTGGTGGATGTCGTAAATCTCAATAAGCATCCGCTATTGATGCTCCTTCATAATCTTCACAATCAATTTCAATTTCTAGTTCTTTTTTAGATTCATCCTCAGTTACAAAAAATTTCTCGAATTCAAGTTCGCTATTATCTTCATATATTTTGTCTTCTGACATGTTATATTCATCCTCCTTCTCGTCATCTGTCACGTCTTCTATCACCATATCATCATCTATTATATTAGCGTGTTCGACATGTAATGTTAAAGTAATTTCCATTTGAATATCTTCGTTTATTTCACTTTTGCTCTATATATTTAAAATAATTGTTAATTCAACATATTTGCTAAGTTTCAAATAAATATTTACAGCTTATTTACCAGAGAAGAACTTTTACCAGAACCTATTAGTTGTGGATAATCATATATGACGGGATTATATTGTAGCTAAATATCTGTTGATTAAATATCTGTTGATTAAGATATAGAAGATGTAGTTTCACTAATATATGGATAGCATTGTGAAATATGCCATGTCAGATCTGTTGATCTTGAGAATTTATTGATTACATTAATTTCATTACAAAATGGACAAAACCAAGTCATGTTATTAATAATAGAATGCGATTTAAGAATTTATTTAAACAAGTAGTTAATTCTGACTGAATTTTATTTATTTATTTATTTGTCTCTAACGATTTAGAACTTTTTTAAATTTCAGAACTGATTCTGAACAGAAGAATTGTTTTTATAATTTATGGATAAGTATTATACATATGAGACAAAATATATTCAAAACAAGTTTCAAAAATCATTAATTAACTTGCTTGTTTTGAGCTTGAAATTAGATTTTAGGTTTCGAGTAAGGTTTCAAATTTCAATTAGATTTTGGTAAGGTTTCTAGTAAAGATATTATTAGAATCCTGAAACCTTTAGATCTAGCAAACAAGTTTCAGGTCACAAATATAATAAGCTGCATCAAAAGGAAAATTATGTAAATTAAGAAAATCTTTGGACAAATCACGTGCACAATCCCGATCTATATATCTTTTTTTTTTTTAGCCAAAATCCTACTAATCAAATGTATATAACCGATTTTTTTTTGTTCATTTTGAACTTTAATTTTTTTTAAATAATCAAACATTAAGAAAAGTGTCAGATATCAACTGATATCATAGAATAGAAGGGAAATAAACAAAATCTCAGGTCTAAATATATACGTTGAAAAATAGATATCTAGATAGATATACAGTGATCTTTTACATCCATTGATCCTTTTATGATACTTATGCTATAAATGCTATTAATGGCTTTTATGGCCTTTATGACTCTTAGTCTATTTCACAAATAAGTTCAGTTTCATTACCTGTAATTAATTAAGGATGTAAGAAGTATAAAAGCAAAGTTTCTTTTGCATTGAAATAAAACATAAAGTTGAGTTAACCACTTCAAAAACATAACAGTAAAAGTAGTAACTCCAAGTAGTTTTACTTATCTTTTCTAATAAAACGTTCAATTATCATTTATTCTTTTCTTTACCCTATTATCTTCGTTAAAATCATGATTAGATTGTAGAACTTAAAGTTGAGTCTTAACCTTTGAAATTTGAGCAGAAGTGTTGACTCTAATTTTCTTTTATAATAAACAGTTTCTATAAAGTAAATTGCCATAGAAACTCTTGTCCCCATGATTTTGGTTTACTCATATTCTCAAATTTTACTCAGAATAAAAGAAAGAGAGAATCAATTAGTAATCCAGATCTCTTTTATAATTAATAAAATACAATTGATTAAACCTTTGATCAACGTAATTGTTACCTCAGCGATCTTATTCAATAATCACATGTGACAATCGTTAAGAACCTTAATGATTGAGATCGAATACTGAATTCCGTCGTACGTAAATTAAAGGGAAGAATTACTTTTAGCTTTCAACCGAAGCCTAGAAACAACTGGTAAAAGCACAAGCTAATATTCTACTTATCTTAAACTCTAGTATCGCCATAGCAAGCCTCTCCATGCCTCTCCACGCCTCTTTTGGTCTACCAATTCAAGGTTTAGAAAGTCTATAATACACAACATTTCCAAACTAAAAAAAATGAAAGTGTAGTTGGTCAAAAGCGTAGAAAGCACTCCCAAAGAATGCACCTCGGATATTGGCCCCAATAAGTAACAAACATTAACAAGAATATTGGTTCCTAATTTTTTTAATAAAAGTAGTCCTGTAAGAGGTTCATATAACTATTTAAATTTCTTTAGCTATAAAAAAAGCTATGTAAAGGTGGCACCAAGGCTTATAGAAGGGTCCATTCAAATGCGTATTAAATAGGTGGAAAAAAAAATTAATAATAAATTATACCTACTAATAAGCTAGTTTTCTAATCATTTGAATATTGTATAAAAGCAAATAGCCAGTATAATCAAAAGAAAACAAAAAGTTTTACTTAAGTGGATATTGGTTAAAAGGTTAAATATTTCTTTTTTTTAAAAAAAAAAAGAGCTTTAAAAAAACACTTAATGGAAGGCTCAGGTCTATTGGTTGTTTCTAGTGATGTGCTATATATAGTACAGTACGCAAAAAAAATTTTTAGAATATTTTAAAACATATTATAAAACCATTTATATATTAGAAGTTTCTTTATGAAACCACCTTTTGTATTATAAGTAAAATATTACTTGCGAAATTTTGTATATACATATTGTATATGCTATACACACTATACGCCTATACATACTGTACATACTGTATACTAAAAAAAATCAAGATATTATATAAATAGTACATTACTAGTTATTCCTAAGTTAAGTATTCTCTAAAAAAAAAAAATGCTTTAAATAATTGCTTGGCTTTTAATAATTCTAATTAAAAAATCCATAAAAAAATTATAGAATATTATTGAGTGATGAAAAATTAAATAAATTCTATTGTATAGTTCATGAAGAGCTCTTATACTTAGTCAAAGGAATGCAGGTAGGTAATGAATTGTATAATATACTGGAAAGTAAAAGGGTAGAGTGAAGATATGTAATGAACGACTCATATGATTATATGATCGATCGCCGGACATAATCAAGATCAGGTACGATAGGTACTGTGATCATTAAATATATAAATATGACGATTAATTGGGGAAAAATTAAAAGTTTAATAAATTAATAACAAAGAAATAGTTAAAGTATAGCACAAACTATTTAATTGTTGGAATCAAATAAAAAGTGAATGTAAATAAAGACAATGAAACAGTCTTTTAACTAGAAAATAACTGTTAAGTAAAAACGTCTTCTTAAAAGTATATACTTACGAACCAAGTAGTGTGGTGTGTGTTAATCAAAGGTGTGTTGTACCAAGCAAGACCTGAAGTATAAACCAAGCAGATTACAGTCACCTCGGTGATTGTTTTACCCTTTGACAATATCATTTATTGTAAGTTTATAGATAATAAATAAGGGTTAATATCCATATTAAATCTATAGTTTTCAGCTTTTTAGAGCCATTAATCATGTGATACAATGTAGTCATTATGATCATGCAGACTTTCTTAATATATATACATCATTAGTATTCTTGAGTTGTCGAAATAACAAAACTCATGGTTTCGTCAGGCAATATGAGTTTCATAAAGCACCATTATATTTATGCTTGTTCTATATAAAATCTGAAAATCCAAAATTTTTTATGTATCTAAATATTGTATAATCAAAGAGATGACTACTCCAAATAAAATTAGCCACCGTCAATTGGAAAAGAGCTTTTTCAAACAAAACCAACAATTATACCTTTTAGTTCTAAAAAACAACGATGATATTCAAAAAATGAAAAATGATATCAATGATATCAAAAAGCTACTAGATAAAAAAACTGACGATTTATCTCCTCAAATTCTTGATATACGTTGTCTTTTTTTTTTTATTAATTAAAAAAAATTTTTAATATATATATTTTTTTAATTTAGAGTTTGTATACTAGCATAGCCAGAAAGTTATTTCTGGAATATATTTATCCCACTCAGAGCTTTTTAAAAGATACTTTTAAAGCTTATATGGATAAAAAATATCTTGAATATGCATCAAACCTTACTAGTAACCAATTTAATAATCTTTTCCATAGTAGATAGATTAGCCCTGTAAGCATTAAATTTAATATTCTTTTTTTGGCTAATACTAATAAGATGGAAAATTGTAATTTATTGCCAGCGTGATGCATTGCACCCTAACAAAAAAAAATTTTTTTGAAGTTGGCAAGTCTTTAATTAGTTTGAATAATAAAGTATTGGCAAATAACAAAATATGGAAATATTCGACCTTGGCCAATAATTTTTTTATCGATCCATATCACTACTTTAAATTATCCCAAGGGGTGGTATTGCACTGGCGATAAATAATAATTTTTATAAAATTACTATATTAATATATATGGACTTGGTGCTACAGAAAAGGGGGAAATCGACAAATTTTCAAAAATTTTATTTTTACACAACTCAATTTAGAATAACGCTAGGATCATTTTTCACTTAAAGCATAAAAGAAGTTGTATTAATAAAATTTTGTAGTATAGCCCTTTAAAGTTTGTATTTTCTTATGATTTATTATAAAATTTATAACATAAAAATTGATTTTCCGAAGATCTTTTGTTTTGTTGATTTCCCTCTTTTCTGTAGCACCAAGCCTATATATATATATATATATATATTTTTTAACGATCATGCCACATGCCCTGCTTTTATTGATCATATATGACAATCCAAAGGATTTTTATATTATATCTTATTACTGGAATGTGACTCATCTGGTTACTTATGTAGAGTACCTAAGTACTCATACACCTGTGTGCGACCTGCCAAAGATGATTTTAATCTCCCCAGTTTGGTCAATCTACATCAAGCCGACCTGCCTTGGTTCACCGACCTGGTTCATCAGCCCGTCATGATCATCTTCTTTCCCAACCTTCTTTTCCTAGCCTTCTAGATAGAAGAATTCTACCACAAGAACAATGGGAAATTTAAGAAAATAAAAGGAAATACAAAAAAAAGGAGATAAATCTAAACTAAACAAAACAAAAAATATACACAAAAGAAAAAATAGAAAAAAAGAGAAAAAGGCCACAAAGAAGACAACTATGACAACACTATTTTTGCCTGTGTCAGGCTACAAAAATTATATAATGTTGTATAGAAAAGAATCTAACCTAACACTATATATATTAAAAAAAGTGGAAAAGAAAAGAGAAAAAAACGTCTAACTATAAGAAATTTCTACACGTGATCCCTCCGATCCCCTATACTGTAAACAGTACCGCTATCATTGTTTATTTGGGAAAGCAGAATCCAAATAAGCTCGCGGGAGGTTCCATTTTGGTAGACGCGTTCTAATTTGGAAGGAGTAAACACTGCCGATCTTTTGAAGGAGGGATGCCAGTTTTCCCACTTTTTGTCTGAAATTTCTAAAAAAATTCCAAAGTAGCGAGAATATAGTAGAAGGTTTTCGGTTACAAGTACTTTCAAAATTTCTAGGGAGTGTGTTAAAATCCAGAACTTTTGTTGTTTCCCCTGTGTTCTTCTTTGAAGTAATAGCCTTAGATCTTTGTCGACGAAGTTGGGTTTTTTCACACTCCACCAAGATTTTTCATACAAAGGCACTGTCTGCCAGTTATCTTGTATAATAACACTCTTGGTTTGCATGCCGAACGTCCTTTTAGAGGAGTCCCTTAGAAAAGCAGTTGACCTCTAGACAAACTGCACCGTAAGGCCACATCTCTTCAACAAAAGTTGTGTTTTTTGTTAGTTGAAATTTTGGTACAAAT